ACATCTCTTTCTACAATAAATGTTCAGCTACCAGCTCCTTCTCAGAATTAAGACAAAACATCATGCCAAGCAGATAGAGCAAAGAACAGACAGGACATTTAGGTGAGGATTTTTAGACAAGGACATGAGGAACACAGGCAACCTATCTTAAGGAAAACGGGTAGAGAGGAAAATTTATGGTGATTTGAGAATCAGGGCATAAGGAGACTGTAAGTGACATCAAATCAGTCAGCTCCTCAGAGGAGCTTGATCATGTTTCTGTTGACTTTTAAACATTTAAGTTGTCACCATCAGCCCCATTGAGAATCTGGGATTTTTACTAATTTCTGCCTTACTTACAAATGCCAATGCTCATTTTAACTTAATATCAGATAGGCCCTCTGCTAATGCTGACACCCTCTCTCCTAGGGTTTTATATGCCAGTCCAATAGTGTCAGAAAAACACACAGAGTTATTAGAAGCTTATGTCATGCATAAAGTCATTAATATGGAAGAATCTTCATCTTCATTTTTTAATTGCATGATTAACTCATCACCAGAATGTAAAACCTACTTGAAATGTCTAATAGATATATTTCAATATACTGCTTAAAATATTACATGTTAATATTGAAGAGAAAATAAATCTTTATTCCTAAATACTGAATCATATTTTCACATCTAAATTCCCCATCTCCCCTATAAAATAGAAATCACCGAATGTTTTAAAGGTACCAAATACCTTTGGTTCCATCCAAGAAGTTTTAAAATGTAGTAAGGAATTTAAATAAGTGTAAGAATGAATTCAAAAAATCATGAGAAATCAGAATTAAAAATTAAAATTAAAAAATATCAGTGATCATGGTAGAACAGTCCAACTTCCATAGTTAAAACTCTAAATGACTTGAGTATTCCCATTGAATAGCCTTACAGTGTGCTAAGTCACAGATCCTCAGCTGCTGAAAACATATTTTTATATCCACTCCACTTCATACACATATGGAATAATCACTTGAAACTAAATCACCAAGATCTGAAACTCTAAACTTGTCTAACACCACCTTCCTGTTGCTCCCCATTAGATTTTCTATTGTGACCTCAGAATCTAAATTGTTCTCTCCATTTTCATCTGTCCACTTCAAATCTACATGAATTCTAGGGCCATCGCCCTGAGAAAATTCATGTACTTAACAATAATCATCACTCCCTGTTCCACAGCCTTCTGGAGTTTACTACTTTCTTTACTAGTGGTTCCCAAGCCTGGTTGAAACACCAGGGGAGCCTTTAAGTTAATTAATTAAAGCACAGGTGCCATAAGCCATAAGGGTGGGGATTTCTTCATATTCTAGGTCACCCCCTTTACTTTGTGTGGTGCTCACGAACACCTTGGAGACTTTGTTTTCAGGTTCTATTAGAGTTTGACTCATTTGTAACTTTGATGATTGTCTTTTCTTTTGTCTCTCCGACTCTTTTATTTTTCAGCTGTACTGAAGTACAATTGACAAATAAAACTTTTGTACTCATATTCAAAGTGTACAACATGAGGTTTTGATACATGTGTACATTGTGAAGTGATTACTACAATGAAGCTAATTAACATATCCATCACTTCACACAGCTACCTTTTTGTGTGTGATGAGAATACACAAGATCTCACAGCACATTTCAGGTACATAATACATCATTAATTATAATCACCATGCTATACATTAGGTCTCTGATAGAGTTCGGATGTGTTGTCCCCACCAAAACATGTGGCAATGCTGGGAGCTGTTTGAGCCATGGGGGCAGATCCCTCATGAATGGATTAATGCTCTCTCTGGGGGGTGGGGGTCCTGAGTGAGACCTCACTCTATTAATTCCTGTGAGAGCTGTTTGTGTAAAAGACCCTGGCACTTCCCCTCTCTCTCTCTTGCTTCCTCTCACCATGTGATCTGCTTGTACCCTACGGCTGCCTGCTGCTTTCCGCCATCAGTAGAAGCAGCCTGAGGCCCATGCTAGATGCAGCTGTCCC